GATTGCTTTCACATATTCTATGAGTAGGTAAATGCATGGGAGACTATGAGACACAGTCAAAATGATTCAAAGACTCAAATCCATATGTTTGGTTTCAGAGTCCCAGAGGACAATCAGCGTCCAAACTGAAAGTAACCCAAATGGAACTGACAGAGAGAGAGAGCATATGGAACTGTTAAGTCATATCTGCAAAACACACCAGAGGTGAGACTGTGTGCAGACAAGGACTGTCCAAGCAAGTAGAAAATAATAATAATAGCATTTTATTTCCTTCCCTAAAATATTTATTCCTGATAAAACCAGGCCTCATCAAGCCCCATCAATTTAAACAGATTTATAGGGGAAACATAAAAAAATTAGATGTATGTACTTTTCCTTATTTTCACGTTTATACTTAATTTTTACTTAATATATATATATATATATATATATATATATACATACATACTTACACACTTACACAAATTAAACATTTAGATGTGCATATTATATTACATAGAAAATTGAATTCTACTTCTCCTTTTTCAGACCTAACCTCTCTTTGGAAAAGGTAAAACATTACACTTGTTTTATTAGCCACCTATGCAGTTTATGTTTTTGTGAGTCTGATTAAAGCCGTCTGTTATTGCAGAACATGGACGACATAAAACTACACAACTGCCCAAGGCTCGTGTCAAAACACAGAAGATCAAAACAAGAACAAGCTTCAGTGAACTCAACCGAGAGAGAGAACCGGGCGGAGGACTGCTCATGGCCAGAAGCTGAACAGGAGCCAGAAGAGGACTTTGAATTGAATGAGGAGGAGGAGGAGGAGGAAGAAGAGGACGAGGAAGGTCTTGAGGAGGATGAGTACTGGAATGACGAGCTGCAGGATGACACAGTCGTTGACAGCCAGGTTCCTGCGGATGAGCTGGCCAGCCTTATTCAGGTAGAAGAGGTAAGACGCTGTAGGAGTGATGCTAATCTCTTACATGTTACCATCTGCCCTTAGAAAAACTAAGCATGCTGAGACACCATCCGTCTGCTGCAGTCTTTCCAAACCATCCGTTTACTGAACGATTTGTATTCCTCAGGGCCTAAGTATGCAATGTATTAATCTGGGTCCTCAAATTGAATTTATATGACTTTGTAAAAGGTCAAGTGGGACTTTCTTCCAATTCTCAGGCCACAGTTCTTAGCCACAGGGTTTCTCTGCTTTGTGAAAGTAAAATAGCGTGATGTCATCCACAGCATTATGGCAGCCAACTGCAGGAATTTTATAAAGCGTTCAGGGAGTGTATGGTTTCCCAAAGCTATTGGGTGTGGTCATCTTAAATAACAGTCCAACTGCATAAACCTTTTCCAGAGCTGCGTCAGACACGCACTGTGTCAGAAAGAGTTCCTGACTTTTTCAATCAACACACACGACAGCTAAATGATGTGTACACTATTATTTTATAGTGATTTGAAGACTCTGCTATTTTGTTTCGGCCTCTGATCTGACTTGAAAAGCAAAAACAAACAACAAAATTATTTTTTACATCATGACATACTATGAGCCATATTAGAAAAACAAACGTGTAAACGTTAAAAAAAAAACATGTAAATGACAGGATTTTCATTTTTATATCAACTATCCTTTGTGAAAAATAAGTGTGCTGAAATGAATTGAATTTGCACTTGTAGTGTGCTTCAAATCTTAAAAGTATATTTAAAAAATATGAAATACATATAAGAAATAAAAAGGCTACATAAGTGTACTTAAAGTTCATGACTTTCTTGCACTGAAGGACTCTTTTAAAAAGTGCACTTTGTAATGATGTTAAATTATTTTTTTTCAGATCACTATGGTTTATTAATCTTTTGTCATGCTTTACATAAGTACACTTGTTTTGATTTTAGAAAAAAATATGAAATTACATAAAGATGTGCTTAAAAAAGCACTGTTCAAATCAAATGTTTTTTATATATATGGCGTAAAATAATAAACTAGTACATTTTCATGTAATTGTAAATAACTTGCCGTTTTCTGTCTGAAAATATTACATTTAGTTCGCGCTTGTATAATTTCCATATAAATACTCTTTAAATACGCCTTATTTTTCCCAAGGCTGTTGCACATACTGACCCCTTGTGGTTACTTGCTGTTATTACATTATTTGCTATGAATGTATTCTTAAAAATAATTCTGCATCATATTGTACAGTCTATTTGAAGCATTTTCATACTTTATTTCTGATATTTCTGTAGAGGTTTCCCTCAGACGGCTTAGTGTCTATTTTAAAGAAGAGAGTCTGCGCCAGGGAAACAGAGAAAGCCTCGCTGCTAAAAGACTCAACCAAACGCAGAGTCCACTTTAGAGAGCCAGGCGATGCTTTCGATCAAGGTACGATTGTAAGCATATATTCAGACAGGGCCTTTATGTATTCAGATTTCTGTTCTGCATTAATGTGAGACTGATCAAAGCTCATCTTTCTCATGCATACAGATGAGTCGGCCAGAAACTCTTGCCTCATCCTTCTCGTCTTGTGTGTGGTTACTGTGGTGATTAGCATGGGTGGGACTGCTCTTTATTGTCTCGTTGGAGGGGCGTACTCAAACGTGTGTGCTGACTTCTCGCAAAACGTGGACTTTTACTTTGGACCTGTACGACGAGGAATGGACGCTCTCGCACAGTGGCTCTCTTCTGATGCATCATAGCAGCTATTTTATGCAGTGGAACTATTTCTTCATATTACCATTTCCAATGATTAACAACAGTATTCCTCTTGAGATAATATGCACTAATGCACATTACCAGACGGGCCTTAATAAATGTTGCTTTAGTGAGTCACACAGGGCTTCCTAATGCATAAATACATTTGTATAATGTATTTAATATTGGTACAAAAACAGGTTATTACAGATAATCCTTATATAACACTTATTATAGATAATCTTAATATACTGTACCACTGCCATTCTTTGAATCAGTAACTATACATGCATTGAAATAACTGCCTATGCAGCCAGTGATATTGTTTTTTGTACATTTGAGTACTCCAAGACACTATATTCCATGCTTATCTTTGTATTTATGCTTTTATTTTGACTTGGCACTTTTCACTGGTGCTATAATCACTGAAATTCATACAGTATGAACAAAAATAAGCATAAATGGATGTATGTTGAAGGAATAGTTCACTCAAAAATGAAAATTGGCTCATAATTTACTTAGCTTAAGGCCATCCGAGATGTAGATGAGTTTGTTTCTTCATCAGAACAGATTTGGAGAAATGTAGCATTACATCACTTGCACACTAATGTAACATCTGAAGTGAATGGGTGCCGTCACAATGAGAGTCCAAACAGCTGATAAAAACATCACAATAATCCACAAGAAATTAAGATCAATCCATCTTGATAAATGAAAAGCTGTTTATAAGAAACAAATCCATCAGTCAGGAGTTTTAATTTTAAACAACAAATATTAATCAAGAAAGCAATATTATGGATAGACGACTCAAATTTTAACCGGCAGCAACTGTTTGAAGTTAAAAACGTCTTTATGACGAATTTGTTTATTACAAACACACAGCTTTTCACTTCACAAGACATTAATTAATGGACTGGAGGTGATCCTTTACTGTAGAGGATCCACTGTAATGCTACATTTCTCCAAATCTATACTGATGAAGAGACAAACTCATCTACATTTTGGATGGCCTGAGACTTGAGTAAATATTCATTTTTGGGTGCATTATTGCTTTAACTATGGGATATTAACTTATCAAAATGGCTTTATTATTAACATAGAACATGAACAGGTTGAATAATAACGATGATCGATTGTTCTGACTTGATGTCAGTTAATTGTTGCTCCAACACTTAGTCAGCAGGTACAAAATATAAAATGTTATAATTGTAGTATTGTACAGTATAAAAGACAGCAATCAATCAGTTTGTTTTAATTACAAATATGATTTGTTTTCAGCAGTCAAAATGAGTGCGAGTTTTTGTGGAAAATTTTAAATATTTTAATATGCTCAGAACCAGAAACCTGTTTCGTTGTATGCTCTTTTTTCTTTCCCAAGTAGGATACATGATCTCTGAATTATGACTAGAAATGTGTTTTTTATATTTAGAAAGTGGTTTATGGTTTATCCTGTAGCTCTGTCTATAATAATATTGGATTGGTCGTCTGAATGGAAGAAAAGATGACGCAGCAGGAAATGGAATTGGCACACATAATAAAACCTATGGTGAAGTAGGAGCATTTTTCTTTGGAAACCCACAGACTGACTCATAGCTAATTTCATTTCAGAATCCAATAACAACTTCTCTGACAGTTGAAGCTTTAAGATGCACAAAGCAAAAAATATTAGTGACACAGGCCTGATCAAGAGGCAATGTCATGATCATGATTGCCTTGCCTTGCCAAATGAACAATATGATTGAATTTGAACATGCAACTGTAATGCAAAGTATGTATTGAAATCATTCAAATTGCTTAATTACATTTTTAATGTAACACCAAATTTATATGCAGACATATTAATAATTTGTAATAAAAATGTGTTCATAAATAGAAAATTGTGTTAAACTGTAGAAAAATGATAAATAGAAGAATTTTTATAAGTGGTCTGACTTTTAAATTTGACTGATGTCTTCAAAACAGTGTTAATTCAGTCACTAACAAGCTGTGATCTTACAATTTATCAACTGACATTCAAATGTAATTTATTGCTAGGTATATACATATGTTTGCTTTCATATATAATATGTTAATGGTCACAAAATATACTTGTACCCTCCTCTGTGTAACTGTTGTGGTAATATCACCTTTCCAGCACGAGATGTCTCTACTTCACTGTGTGCCAGTTTCTGGAATCTTCACCCACAAACAGTTGGATTTATGTTTGAGCTACACTTACCAGAAACACAATCTGATACACTAAACGCCTGTATTTTGCACGGACACTGTACAGTGACAGCAGAGAGAGAGGAGCAGCAGCGGTCGCTCTGACCTCGTCTGTGTTTGCCTCGCACGCGGATCACACTCACAATGGCGACGCTCACAACGTCAAGCAAAAGACCGTACCATATTATAGTGTTCGGAGCGACCGGTTTTACCGGCCAGTTTGTAGTGGAGGAGGTTGCGCGGACGTGTAACGAGGGTCCAGGAGGGACGTTTCAATGGGCTGTAGCCGGACGAAACCGCGACCAACTGGAAAAAACACTCATTCAGGCAGCTGACGCTCTGTGTACGTGTTTGACTCTGTGTACATTTGGACTTTGAAGTTTTTGTTATTGTACTTTACATTGAAGTGCCCATGCCTCACATAATAACATATACTGAATTGCAGAACATATAGAACGGAAATAGAATAGAAAAATAATAGAACCGAATAGTAACTCTATTTACAAGCAGCGCCACAATGTACATATGTTGTACATGTGTAATTACAATGTAATTATTTTAGACATAGCCTATGTGTGACTTTGTAGCATAATAATAAAATGTATCATGGTACCCTAAAATACCACATATGTTATTCTATAGTGTAAAATGCGATATATATATATATATATATGTGTGTGTGTGTGTGTGTGTGTTTTTAAATATTGCAAAAAAATTACAAACTATTTTTTAAATCTTACAAATATTTACATTGTTAAAATTATTAATTAATATTTTATTCTCTATTTTATTTATTATATTTTAACATGCTTTATTTTACAATGAATTTATTATAAATAAAACTTATTTGATATGAACATGCTAATAATGTGGTACCATTGTATATATATATAAAGACTATGTTTTTATCCTCTAGTACCGTCATGTTACTGCCACTTTTTTTTTATCTTTGTGGCAAAGCTACAAAGAATTACAAAGCACATATGTTATTTATGATAGGTCATAGTTTGTATTAGGTATAGATTGAATTGCCATACTGTCATGGCTAGACATGAGGCAGTCAGCTCATAGCATTAGATGAGCTTCAGCAGATTTTGTCTGTTGAGATTATCAAATGGGATTACAGGGTTTGAGAATATTGTTGATTAAAGGCATAATGTTTGGACAATCCCATCATCATCTGGAATAGGCTGTACTGATAATCGAGGATTTTAAAGCTAGCTATGCAATAGGTTATAGAGTAAAGGGATACAGTGATCTATCTATCTATCTATGTCTGTCTGTCTGTCTGTCTGTCTATCTGTTGTTCTGTCTATGTATTACATAAAATGTTATAATTTGCAGCATTTTGAGCTGTTAGAGAAGAAAGATCCATTTGTCTCTGACATTCCATCATTTGTCTGCAGGTAAACCAGAGCTGAAGTGTGTGGAGGTTATTGTAGCAGATGTAGCCGAGCCGGAGTCGTTGGCCATCATGTGCAAACAAGGAATCATTGTGCTCAACTGCGTGGGACCAGTAAGTCCACAAAGACTATTGTAAAAAAGCACAGGAAAGGGTCAGTTTACACATCTGTGCATTCACACCTGTCCCAGTGCACCCATAGGCCAACGATAGCTCTATGACAAAAAATGATAAATGGAGTTGTGTTATTCTGAGAGAACTGTTGACTGTGAAATGCCGTGGTTCTGAGGTGTCTTCTCTCAACAGTACAGATTCTATGGAGAGCCCGTGGTGAAGGCCTGCATAGAGAATGGGGCCCACTGCATCGATATCTGTGGAGAACCACAGGTAGTTAATGTTATCCGTCTAACACTGTTTTTTAGTAATCTACTTTTGAAAATGATACCATTGAAAAGTTTGGGGTCTGTAAGGTTGAAAGTGTGTTTGAAAGAAGTCTTGCATGCTCACCAATTCTGCATTTATTTGATCAGAAACAACAGTAATATTGTGAAATATTTTACAATTTAAACTAACTGTTTTCTATTTTAATGTTTTAAAATGTAATTTATTAATGTGATGGCAAAGCATAATTTTCAGCAATCATTACTACAGTCTTCAGTGTTACATGATCTTTCAAAAAATCATTCTACGGTAATATGCTGATTTGGTGCTTAAGAAATATTTCTTATTATTTTCAATGATGTGCTACATAATATTTTTAGGAAACCTTTATACATCTTTTCAGGATTCTTTAATGAATAGAATGTTCAAAAGAAAAGCATTTATTCGAAATATAATTTTTTGTATGTTAATTGAATGCATCCTTGCTGAATATAATGGCTAAAAACCTGACACCTGAAAAAACCTGAAAAATCTTTTT